GGCAAGGGTTGGTCGGATGTGCTCTTCGACAACCACCAGATCGACTTGAACGGGAATGTGGCCATTGCTATGGGGAACTACTTCTTTGCCCTTTGCTTGTCATTGAATCACATGACAGAATTTTGTGTGAATACTTGAACTCCGAACTGTAAAAATGATCATTTCCAAGCAGCAAGGGTCAATAACATCCCAGGCCAGCGCAGCTGACGGAAGCATCAGCAAGGTGGAGTACACATTTGGCTACAGGAAGTGCGAGGAGCTCCGCTGTACTGTACTCCCGAGTAAGGTAAGGAATCCGTGACCATTCCTTCATGGGAAGCTCTGAATCCGTATAATCATCAAGTCGGTTGTTATCGCTAACATCCGGGGAAATGCCCTGCCTCCCTGGCAGGCAACCCAAACAACAAACCTCGTATAACCAGTCCCAAAATGCGGTGAGAATCTTCTTTTTTGAAGTGCGAGGATGGAAAGGTTCGCATCTGCCTCCATCACTCCTCGTTGCCTTATCCGGGCTGCGCGGCATCCGCACCACCAGCGGCAACGGAGGTTGCAGCATCGTCGGCACCTGCAGAGATGAGCTTCACTTCTGCTACGCCGGTGGCGGCCGCCTTCGTGGGATCCTCTGCAGCTCTTCTGCAACGACAGCCCAGCAAATTTGACCAGAAAACTCTTAGAGTAATGTTAAGAATGCAACATCTGATCCTAGAACCCATGGTGAGTTGTGATGCCGAGGTTCCCGAGGTTCATGGTGGTGGTGGTCAGGTTCGCCATTCCATTGGCTTCGCCTACTCCGTGCAGAAGGACCCCGGGCGGTTGGGAGGTTGGAGATCCAAGCTCTGCTGCGGTATCGATTCATCCTGTTTTAGGGTTTAGGGTTTAGGGTTTAGGGCTTTAAAATCTAGATGCCTATGGGAGGTGAGTTTTCTGTAAACTCTAAACCCTGCGTGTCCAGAAGCGAGACGGTCAAAAACAGGGCTGCCCTGACACCTCACGAGGATGCTCATGTGGACCTGGAATTTGGCAACGATGCTGCTTGGCATAGAATCATGGGTTCCTTAAGGGGGGAACCTAGGGGGCCCACGATAAAAGCAAGCAAGAAATGGCTTCAAAAGAAAGCAGCCTCTATCACAGTTTTTTGGAGAAAAGTGCGTGCAACGTCATTTGCAGAAGGACGCACCTCGTGTCACTTAGGTTGGCTACTTGCCGGATGGTACGCCAATGAACCTGGCGGGCAACAACATCAACCATCCCGAGAACATTGGACCAGACCCACATGCTCCAGGTGCGGCGGGGACCTCCAAATACGTTTTGGCCAAAGAGACAGGCCCTGGTGTTCGTGAGGGCCCCCCCAATTTCTGCCGGCTTGTGTTGGAGCCACGGGTTATGTTGCCCAGAGTGTTTTGTGCATCGATGAGGCTCGCCACTGCCGCGTGCTGTGTTCGCGAACGACGTGGGATACCTGCCCGACGGCACGCCCTTGAACAAGGCCGGAAACGCCATCAACCACCCCGAAACTTGGCGCAGGGAGTGAAACAAGACCTGTTTGCTGACATTCTTGTTTCCAGGTGCAGCCACCCGAAGGTTTTCGTGAGTCCATCTTGCTTGGCCAGGGCTCGGCGTTTAAACCTGGGTTTGCCGAGTTTTTGTTATCAGCTTGCACCCCAGGAAACCATTGGCCCAGATCCTCATTCTCCGGGCTCAGCTTTGCCACCATCAGCCTACGCCGCGGATGTGGGCTATCTTGTGGATGGCACACCCATTGAGGCCGCCGGCAACAATGCAGTCCACTAGATGCTGGCGGCAAAGGGCATGAGGTGGCATTCAGCAGTACACGAGGTGTGGCGTTGGGTGTCAGGCAAGCAGCACAGGTGGCAAAGAAACCACCATTTGAAGTGTGCTCAGAAAGGTTTGGAGCCATTCTGTTGCACTGTTGCTGCCCCAAGGCTTTTTGAGAGGCCGCGCAAACCTAGGAAGGGTATACCTGAGTCATATGCAGGTCGTATCTTGACACCTCTGGTAAGAAGTAGTAAAGATGACACTAATGTCTTGTAGTATACCTACCTAAGCGCAAACAATGGCAGTGACACAGTGTACGACAACACCCGTTTCTTTTGGCCAGCGGTGCTGAGCTGGGCTCACCATGTGAAGGCCAAAACTGATTATCCTTGTGGAGGTTTCCAATATTCTGGGGTTCCCTTCTTGGGGTTTAGGGTAAGGGTTTACCTACAGTAGGTATTAAGGGGCATGAACGCTAGGACCCTGAACTTTGGAAACACTCTTGTTTCTTAGACGTCGCAGTTGCAGCAGACAAGGGGCGAACGTGCCCGGCACATCAACTCTTAGTTCACCATTTAAGGGCTTCCCAAGAATTAGGGGGTACCTTTAAAGCGGGATTATAGGGATTATATAGGGGTATATAGGATAGTATATTTAGGGATTTATAGGGTTTAGGGTTTCCCAAATTTAGGGGTACCGTTTTGGGGGTCCCAATAATAGGGATTATATTCTCAAGTGGTCTATATTGGGGTCCACTTATTGGAAACTGCCATTGGAGCCATTCCATTTTACATGCAATCTTTCTGTGACTCGTTGCTTCCTAAAACAAATCCCAAATCTAAATAGTCGTTTCCAGCATCATTTCCGCTATTCCTATATAACCCTAATATATTCCCTATTATAAAATCGTATTTTCCATTTTTTTCCATTATCCCTACATCTAACCCCTAAGAATACCCATTGCTGGATCATTGCGTTGCATCTCCTGTGACTGCGACCATGGCCTTGATGGCCACCTGTAGGAAGCACTCGGCTTCTCGGCTTGAAGCGAACACAGCTTCATATTGCTGGTGCTTAAGGGAGAGTGGGGGAGTGGATTCTTACAATAGTCCCTGTACAAAAAAACCCATACCCCTGTAAAACGTCCAATATTTTCACTTGCCCGCTGCCCCTGAAGCACCAGTATCTCATGGTTTCCTTGTGGCATTCTGCCACCAAGCTCGTCTGCCTTTGTGCGGAGTTCATGACAGTGCGCCTGTAGCTTTCTCTACCACAGATTCGACACAGATGAGGTCCGACAGCATCCCCTGACCTTCAGACACTGTGCAGCGAGAAAGTTGCAAAACTGAGCACTCCATGCTGTTCTGCACAGTTCCGCCACGGAATGAAGCCTCATACGTATAAACCCTAATGTTGCATAGTACTCTCCATTATCTTTTCCATTACCTATATTGCCCTAAACCCAAAACACACTAAAATATTTATTTGCCAGAATCCCATATAACCATAAACCCTAAACCTTCATATGATATCATACAACCCCCATACAGCCCTAAACCCAAAAACCTAAACCCTAAACCCAAAACCCTAAACCCAAAACCCAATACCCTAAACCCTAAACCCCAATACCCTAAACCCTAAACCCCAATAACCCCAAAACCCTAAACCCTAAACCCAATATTTGGATTTCGTGAGGCGGGCCTGGACTGACTGTCTGGCGCTTCGACGAGAGTTGAGGGTTCTAGGGTTCTAGGGTTTTAGGGTTCTAACGTTTTAGGGTTCTAGGGGATTTAGGGTTTTTAGGGTTGTAGGGTTTTCGGGTTTTAGGGTTCTAGGGTTCTATGGTCTTGGGGTTGTAGGGTTTTAGGGTTGTAGGCTGTATGTTAAGAGTATATAGTTTACATCCTCATGATCGGGACGCCTGTTTTTTGGACATGCCCAGGAAAAGCTAGAGAAGGATCTGCTGGAGGAACGGAAGATGAAGACGTGCTACAAAGAGATCTTGCGCAGGCGAGAAGCGCCGAAGACCTGAATCTTGCCTTTAATTGCTGTACAATTGTAGTCCCGAGATTTGTTCACCTTTCCCATCACCCGGGAGTGGATGGGTACACAGGCACCCCAGAACTCTAAATTCAAAGCCCGAAGCCGTGTGGAGCAGGGGTTTTGTTTTGCTTCGGTGCTGCAATATGGGCAGGAAGAAACTTAATCTCAAGTTCAATTTGTTGGTAGTTTCGGCAGTTTGCGAAGCAGGTTCTGGAAATTTTGATCCACATCTTGATCAGTTTTTGGTAGGTTTTGCTAGTTTTTAGCATTTGTGCGCTTTTGTTGGGGTAGATTTTGCTAGATTGTAGTAGGCTTTGGAAGATTGTTGTAAACTTTGGTAGGTAGATAAATGTACTTTGAGGTAGGTTGTGCAAGGTTTTTCGTCGTTTTGGGGGGGTAGTGTATCAACGTCTTTAGTTTCGAAAGGTGGCTTCTGTTCGCTAGTAGTTGGGATCAACAATAGTATATCATCGTCTACTTTAGTATGCTATAGTATGAAAAAGAGCTAGTGCATCGTAACCTGGGCCTTTCGCATCCTCTCGCCGTTTCTACCTGGCGCTGCGTAGGGAATTAATTCCGAATGAACCCCTATACTTAGTAGTCCCCTGTGCCCCCATTGCCTGAAAAGCACCGGAGAGTGTTCGAGTACCATGACGCCCCAGAACCGCAAATCTGAGCAGGGGTTGGAGGCATTTCTGACAGCCGAGTGTCGAAGCCCTCACCGTAAGGATTAAAGAGTAGCTGGGAACAGCTGAACAAAAGATCGCAGAGCTCAACTGACAAAGCTCCGAGCTTAGAACTTGCTTTGGGAAACTGGACACCGCCCTTAACTCACGTGGAATCTCAGAATACCCCTGCCTCTCAGGAAAAGCAGTCTATGCAAAGCTTGCGTTGGATTTCAAGCTTGGGGGAGGGGGTAGGTGATGTGGGCAGACGCGTCAGGTGCTAACAGCAAAGGCTTGGCCGAGCAGCAAAAGCAGACCAAGCTCCGTGCAGCACTGAGACGGGAGTTTTTTTGAGATTTTATCGGATTTTTATTGGGATAATGCAAAATAACATGGAAACTATTACAATGGGCTATGCAGGGATTATAAAGGGAATTTTTGTGTTTCATTAGGGTCTAGGGCTTAAGATTTAGGGTTTGGTTGCTGTTAAGGAACTTAATTTAGGTCATCACGGGTATATGTAGTAATTAACAGGGTTTCCCCAGTACAGTACCTTAAATTAAGTTCCTTGACAGCAACCCAGCAATGCTTGCGCCATCTGCAGAACAGCAGGATGCATTTAGTTGCTTTCGCAGGGGAAGCGAAGGAGAAGGAGGTCATAACCCTGGCCGAAGAGAGCATGGTGCTCAGACACTGCTGCGTGAGCTGCATGCCAACAACATCCAACAATTCCCGCAGAATAGTGTAGCAATGTGTGGAGCAGCAAGTTGGTTTGTGTTTGCCTCTGTAGGAACGGCAGCAGAGAAGAGGAGATTGCAGGCGAGGCAGCATGCGCCGGGCAATCAGAGCATGGCATGATTTATTTGGGATACTGCTGGCTGCTACTGTATCTGGCTTCTCTCTCTGAAAGTTCGCATGGAAGACTTGTCTTTGATCCTCACCAGCCGCGCTGCATCTGGAATACTATGGTCCCCACATGTCCTCAATATTGAGTAAGATGAACAACTGTTGTAGCATTTGATGAGGAGGATAGGTTCCTATTTCATTCCACCACCGACAGCTGATCAGTTGGGAGGAGAAACAAACATTCTTGGACATGCTCGACAGGGCTGTCGCAAGCATGTCATCATCATTGCAGACTTCATAGTTCTCTATTGGTTCAAAGAATTGGGAGGAGAAGCAAAAATCGCTGGCCTCGACTGAGCAGCGATGAAGAAGCAAATGGCGAGCCCTGGTGGCACATCATCTAAGGGTTTCCAAAAACGGATTCCGTTGAGGGCGACCCCAGGTTCGATGAATCAGCCCCGTTGTGTGCTATCTGACAGAGATGCTTCAGCACATGAATGTTATCTGCTGGCACGGTCTCTTTGCAGATTGTTTTTGTGATCTTCTAGTTTGGAGTAGTATTGCATGGACCTGGCGCATGCTTTCTCTCAGTCCGCTGCCCTGGCTCGTGCAACGTAGTGATGAGGTTGCTCAGCATCATAAGCATCATCCGAGTTGCCGGGCAGAGGGATAAAAGCCCAGCACTTTAAAGCTTGAAGACCGAAATCCTAAAAACTGAGCCCTGCACTGCGCGATTAATTAAGGACAGAGTCCGAGGCGCCTGCAACCGAGCCCAACCAGGTTGCTTGCCTGGCCATGTTGTCCATGCGGGGTTTCTTAATTCATAAATCCAAAGGGCGACAGACTTGCAAAACAATGCTCTTGGAATAATGTCGTGGTAACAGGAAAGGTTGCTGAAAATCTGAGGTTGTCCTAAAGGTCCTTGTCTTCTGGTTATACTTGGGGTGACCATTTGAGATGATCCAGAGGGCTCGTGAAAGCTTCGCAAAAGAAGACGCCAAAGGAAAACACTTTTTTTTTTTTTTTCGCGAAAGATGTGGGACAAGAAATATCTTCTAGGATCTCATGTGGCTGCATTTGAGGCACCAGTTTCATGCTATTTATAATCAGTAGTTTCAAGGCCAACGCCTTGGTTTGAACTGGTATTGTACTGGAAGAGACACCATTCTCAACTGGCCCAGGCCCTCGAATAAGGAAACCGGTTTCTGTAATGCCTTCCCTTCGAAAAATCGAGTTTTTAGTGCGTTTTTTGCGGGAAGGTTCGCGAAGGACTTCGCGAAAGCTCGGGTTTGTCTTGAAGCAAGCAGGCAGTTGATTTTGTAGGCGCATACAATGATAGGAAGGGGGTTTGAGGACCATACAAGGGTATGAAGGATGTTTGGCGCCCAAGAGAAAGGTAGGAAGGCCGGGTTTTGGAAGTCCCTAGAGAGGTAGGAATGTGGTTTTGGAGGCTCATGAACT